CATTTCCCCCTTTTATTAACGATGTTTAATATTGCCTAAAAGGTCACACGTCAAAATTTTCTCGCCATAATGTATAAACTGTGTACTGTAGGTACTCTATTGATAGCCTTTATCCATAAGCAGGTATAATAATAAAACTTTTTAAAAAACAACGTTTGGCTACATAAATATTACAACGTCATCTTCATACGTAGTACTCATGCTGTAGTCACAATTTTAAGCAGTTTGTCCACTTAGTAAAACAAACTGAGACAAGAATACAATCTCATTTACTGGGTTAATTTTCTATTTGAGCATTTTTCACGTTATATATAACCTCGCGTGTCCAGAAACTACAAATCCCAACATTACTTGCGTCTGATATGACCCGCATTGGAAGGGTGGAATAATGTCACAAGACACTTTTAATGATATATACTGCACATATTTCGATGGAGAATAAACAGGGCGCTTAAACAGAGTTCTTACGCTAAAGGTGCATACGATTACGTGTTTTATGTTCGACTGCAAAACCAATACATCCTTTAAGATTAAAAACACTGTTTTTTAACTAAGCTGAATAGACCTTTTTTTAGTTCAGGCTGAAACTGTACCTCCAGTTTTTGCTTCTGCATAATCGAGGCAGTTAGAAAATGAATAAGAAATGCATGCAACTTTAAAAAACAATAGCATAAAATTCACCTTACCTTCGAAGCCATTACTGCTTCATTTATTTATTTTAAAATCTTTTTGAAAAGTTACTTTATCGGTTCCTCAATCAGCCATTCCCTTTTCCAGCCACTGAGCGAAAACAAGGCAGTTCTTCTTGGGAGTGCTGGTGAACTAATTTTAATACATCACTAAATACAGACTGCCCTTTGACCCGAGGAGGGGAAAAGGCAGTTTAGAGGACTCTAGTTTAAGTAATCCACTTCGGACTGAGTTTCGCTAGATTTCAGCTTCAGTTTAGTCCTGTATCCCGAGCACGGCGCGAAGTTAGTGGAGCCCTGCGTCTTATACTGAGAGAACAAAACCGGAAAGGATCTGGAAGCAACACCAAGATATTTATGACAAGTCAGCCTGCAGATACGGTTCAACTGTTTCTCCGCTGCACGAGTTGAGGGCGCTGTCCTACGAAATCGCTGCTATATACAGTACTAGTAGTTTCTAAACTACATTTTTTATACCAGGCATAATCAACATAGATATGCGTCTTTATTTAAAAATGAATATGGGTTTGCTGTATGGTTTACGTACAGGTAAATGGGCCATAAAATATGTCTCATTGCATCAGCTTTATCAAGTTATTTATTGTATTGATCGTTATCGCTTATAACCAAGTGGTGTAGAAAATGTATTAAATGTTTTAAATTTTGATCATAGCATTTCTAGCCTTAACCCAATGTATGTATTATGTAATTGATACGTGTTGGTTTCTACCCCCAAGTCATGCACACCGAATTGAAATGTTGCTCCTTTCCTAGATGTGTGCTTCGGGACCTTTGGATGAAATTCAGTATTTGCCAAGCGCTTAGCTTACGTTCTTGAAATCCCCTTTTGACAACAAAAGGAATTCAAGTTTTGATAAATACAAGACCTTGATTCCTTTAACGTTATTTAAAACAGAGCGTTAAATTAGGGGGAACCGCAGCGGACCTGCCATTTCTCTATTGTAACCGTATAATATACAGCTTGTAACGTAATTAAAATAGTATATGGATATCATAAACCATAATAATATTAAATTATTTTATATAATAATGTAACATTTGCCTGGTGTTAAACGTCTCTTTGACCTTCCACCCGTCACCTTTAGCTCACGTGCTTCTCTATCCCCACCCTGTATAAGGAGGGGAGGCCTCTCTCTATACCTCATGCACTGCTAGCAGAAGCTTCGCTCATTCTCCACACCCAACCCCCTTGTGTTTACAGTTACAGTACCTGTAATCTTTAAGGACAAAGAGTCTTAGTGAACCTACAAGCCTGCTCTCCTACTGTACTAGCCTACACTGCTGGGGAATTGTCAGTATAGGAGAAATCTCCTCACCTGTCTAAGCAAAGGCATAAAAGACGAATGGAAAGCAGACTCCTGATGCAGGCCAAGAGTGAGACAGGACCTCTCACCAGGGATGAAGCTCGGAGAAACATGCTGGAGATAGGCCAAGTCTTGTCTGGGCAAGAAAAAATGCCAAAAGAAGTGCGAAACCTGTTTAAAGTCTTTAGATGCGTTCATCTCTATGGAAGCGTGGTGACAATGCTAGTGCTACAGACACTACCCGAGTGTTGTGTGTCACAGCCCAGTGAGAATCTTGAGATCTTTGCTGCTGACCTCCACTACCTTGTGCAAATATCCTACCTGTGCCACCCCTGCTTAAAATGTCACTAGAAGTGTCTTTATCATGTAAATCAACAAAGAAAACAGTTATTCAAATGGTTCTTAGGCTGACATTGAGGCAGCTGTCAGGAGAGCTTTGTAGAAAGGAAGAAAGTTTAGAGAATGTCAAAACCCGATAATATTTATTTGAAAAATACCTTTTCAGCAGACAGGGTATACTTCACATTCAGTAATAATTCCCCAATTCCCCAATTTACATTAACCACATTTGCGGGCCCGTCTTTTGGATGATACGTTAAACCGAGGTCCTGATTCTCAGTGGTCATTTAAGATCCCCAGGCATTTCTCAATAAGAGTAGGGAGTTATCCTGGAGT